TATCACAGCAAAAATAGACTCGGTGCGGAAACGATCTCTGCACTGCTGCAGACGCACCGTTCCTGAACGCACTGCTGTGTGCAGTGTGAATGCTTTAATCCGTTAACATGAGCGCAGAAAAATACGCACCACATACCACGCACTGCAAACAGAGTAATGTGAACCTGGCATTATGTGTGTGCGCTGCAAGTGTGCATGAGCACACGGTCTACAGGAGAGCGCGCAATGGTTAAACACTGGCAAGAATAAAAAAGTAATGCAAAAACTTTACTTTACTTGTATAAACTTTAGTGACGATGTGACACTACCTCGATTGTGCAAGTGACAATTCCTGTGTCAACTGTGCAGCGTGCAGCTCGCTTATAGACATACGCGATGTGTGGTGATTTGAAGCCATTTGCATATTGTGAGAGAGCGCGCGGTGATTCGCTCACGCTGTTTGTGAAATTATGTCTCGCACAAGGTTTTCAAATTACTTTGTAAGTTATTTAATGAAGAAATATGAAGGTGAGTACCTCAGCCGATCAATCGGAGCACCCCTATTAATAAGCAACCAGAAATGCCTGTAACTGTGTGTCCTACCCAAACGTGGCACGCAATAAAATGTATATTTTCTAGGGGTGTAACAATCCTTGGAAATGAATCAATGCATCAGTCAAATTACTAATGAAGAGATGTATTGATTGATGCAACCTGTAAAAAATCATTATATAGTTTTATACATCTAGAAGATTTAGTGTTGTCAAAAGTACCGACCACGATACCATTCGGTACTGAATTTTTAGAAACGTCCATTTCCCGCTAACATTTGAGCGCTGTTGTGCAGATTCTTAAACAGCGTTGATTGGTCAAATGTTAGCGGGAAATGGACGTTTTTAAAATTTTAGTAATAGCATCGCGGGTCTGTACTTTTGACAACACTATCTAGAAGATATAATGCTTCTTTTACTGTTATAAAATGTCAAATTGCCAATGAGCATTCCTCAAATATTTGATGAGTTTACCAACTTTATTTTCAAAATGTCTTTTTTTATTATATTTTATAGAGCACAGAAGTCTGACGGACTTTGTTGACTTTTCTTTACTTAAAGGGTTAGTTCACCCAAAAATGAAAATTGTCATCATTTACTCAGCCTCCACTTGATCCAAACCTGTAAGAGTTTCTTTCTTCTGTTGAACAGAAAGCAGTTATTCTGAGGAATGCTGGTAACCAAATAGTTTTAACTTCCATATTATGGAAAACAATCTATTGAAGTCAATGGCTACCGTCAATTGTTTGGTTACCCACATTCTTGACAATACCTTCTTTTGTACTCAATAGAAGAAAGAAACTCAAACCGGATTGAATCAATTGGAGGGTGCCAAATTATTTGTAATTTTTAGGATGAGCTATTCCCTTTAACTTATTGCAAAAGCCAATGATGAGCTGTAATGAGACGATTGATGGTCTCATGCGTTATCTCATTTATTTATTTTTATTTTATTTTAAAAAGTGACGTGTATTTGTTGTGGATGTCCTAGGATCAGAGAGTTCAATTAAATGTTCATATTACATTTTGATTAATATGTAATTGGTTGTATAGATATTGGCCCCTGAATCTAAGTAGGCCTATATCTAATTATATAGTGTATTTCATGACAAAGATTGCATCAGTCATGCGTTTAGAATAATTTTAAGATTGTTTAATTTTTAATTATTATATGTTGAATGCATGTGGTTTGTTACCAGTGTGAGACAGCAGTGCACTTGCAGAGAGAGAGCCTTCCCTTCTGATTAGTTGTGATTGATTTGTAGCCTTGTTGCTTCCTGTGTGGACAAATTTCTTGTTACTGGAATCGTATCATGTCTGGTTGGGACACGATGCCTATATAAAATGAGGGAGACTGAATTTGAGCAAAAATCTACATGTACCAATCTTGTGTTTAAACAGTGTATGATCTTTCTGGGAAAAAAAAAGGGCTTAAGGTCTTTACATGACCGTACATGTTATTGATATATTAAAGAGGTCATGAACTGAGAAACCAAAATTCCCTTCATATTTTGGCATATAAGAGGTCATTGTACTATGAAAACATCCTGTATGTTTCAGAACTCAAAACTTTTCTCCTTAGTCTAAAACATCTTATAATGAAGCCAGTCTGCTGAAACAACAGGTTGTGGAATGTTCTACTTTATGATGTAATAGTGTGGCTAAACCCGGCCTCAGCAGAAGATCAACACCTGCTTCTACATCACTGCCTGTTTAGCCCCGCCCACTGATTCATGCACATAGTGTAACAAGAGCGAACGCAGGTCTACACAAACTAAACGATAAAGTTCGCTCCGAATACAACAAGACGCTGTGCAGTGCTAAGTTGTGGAAAAAACAGTCTTTGCATTGCCTTCCTTCTGATCAATTTTAGGAAAGATTGAATGATCTTTTTTTAATGAACTTGGTCCTTTGTTCATTTACAAACAAGGCACACTGTCTATATTAGCATCTATCAATAGTAAATATTTGTTATTTAAAAGGAGAAACCAAAACAAGGATGTACGAGATGTACGCAGATATACAAAACGTAAACAAAGCAGTGCTTGCTTACCATTTTAAATATCAGTTATGTTGATAACTTTATTCATTTTAATCAGCTCACTTTTTTATGAAAATATTGACATATTGGGAATGCTTGGGAAAGATCACGTAACATTAGAACAGTCTTCTGTCTGTGCAGCCTTCATTTACTTATTAGTTTTCATCACATTCACTTTATATCTCGGGTACTGACTCGTTCACTAAACTGAACATCTAATCAGAGTTCTCACTCTTGTCGACATCCCCGACGAACCCTGTCGCCAAAGTGAGCCCTATGAGAGGCGACATGTGGAACATCCCAAACTAAACTAGCCCGACAGACGCTCACCGATGGCCTGACGTTGGCTTGGTGTGTCTCAGGCTTGACTTCTAAATGATGATGTTTTGATGTTAAAATCTTGATAATATTATAAGGGGACCTCAGACAACAGTACAAAATAATAGAAAAAGGCAGTTCATGACCCCTTTAAGACTGATTAGTGGACAGTTGTGGAAGTCAGCTGACTAGTTGGTAATAATACATATCATTTAAACATTCTCTAATAGTCAAGTAGTTTATATATTGGTTTTTTTAAATCATTATTCTTATTTCCATATAGACCAGTGTAGGCAATGCGGCTTTGCAAATATTTTTCTGGTTATGGAAATGTAACTACAATTTATAAGCCGCACTTATGATTATAACACAGTGACCATAATGAAAGTAAAAGCAAGAGAATAGAGAAAGACGGACCTCTCTTAATGATTAATCTCTGGCATTCTGTTCTCTTGTAGACTCTTTCTCTTTCACTTAACATACACACTGAACCCATACCAAGCCTTTCCTAAATACTGGTCAAAATGTCAGCCAGACTATTTCCTGTCTGTTGCTGACTCAACCACATTGACTGGACCCTGATCCAGCGGTTGATACAGCCTTTAACAAAGTTTCTCGCTGGATGCACTGCACCAGTTAGGGCTGTGCAATATACCGAAATTATCGAAATATCACAAATGTACATATCGCAATATGCATATCGCTACAGCTTGCAATATTTGGGGCCATGAACAAAAGACAAAGAGAAAATCACTCACTGCTTATTTACTTTGGTAATGATGATTATGGTGTAGACGACTGTCATAATGATTATGGCAATTACACTGTACAATTAGTGGTGTTGAATTAACACCCGTAATTCAGAAGTAACTTTTTTTGAACTATCACCCAAAAGCCAGTATTAGTTTTCCTACACCGTTCATAGGCTTGCAGCCTCCATGTTACAGCTAATGCTGTGAGATTTTATGTTTGTTTTGTCTTAAACATAAAATAACCTGATCCTGTTTGATCAAGGCATGCGACTGTTCTGACTTGTCCAATTTTCAGCATCAGTTTTTCATCTTGCATCAAAATTCTGTCTATTCATTGTATGCATTTGAAATATAGTTGGGTTTTGTTTTATTGTACCCAAGTGTACCTAAAATAAAAAGTGTTTAATATACAGGTTTGTGGCTCTTAATTTCCTATTAATTAACCATTTGTAATCTTATGTTCACTGTTAATTTTTTATAAATATAGGATTTGTATTAAATCTATATTCATTCATATAGTCAAATCGAATCGAGAATTGAAATCAAAAATCGAATCGAATATCGAATAGAAAATCGAAATCGAATAGAAAATCGAAATCGAATCGAATTGAGAGCTTGAAAATCGAAATCGAATCGAATTGAGAGCTTGAAAATCGAAATCGAATCGAATTGAGAGCTTGAAAATCGAAATCGAATCGAATTGAGAGCTTGAAAATCGAAATCGAATCGAATTGGAACATCTGAATCGATACCCAGCCCTACTTGGTACATACATACATACAAATAACTATATATATATATATATATGACACAAGATAGTTATAGAAGTTCACAGAACTGACTCGGCAACAGCGGAGTAAAACCGTTTCATCGGAGCATGTGGCACTTTAAGCATTATCGTATCGCATATCGTATTATTTAATGAGTTATCGCATTTTTCTTCAATATCGCACAGCCCTAATCAGAGTTTCCAAAGGTTATGATCTTCTGTAGTGTCTACAAGCTGTTCAGATTTGCAGCTCCACCCTGAAATGCTTTGGAGTGTTGTCCCTTGGACCTTATGCGAGGTTACGAACTATGGCATTTTTAGACCAAACCCTGGGTCAGATTACCAAATGTCAGGCATAGCTAAACTAATAACAAGGCTGTCTGAAATTAGTTTGAACTTCTCGGCTGAGCAGGCTTAATTCAACAAATCTAAAAGAAAATTTGTCCCAAAACTGACCATAGACCACACTGGGCCGGTGAATAATAGTGTTAAATAAGGTGAATGTGCGTTTCAGCATAATAGCATTGGAATGACATTGGAACTGAATGTTTTATGACTTGAAAGAACTGTAATTTTTTTTATTTATTTTTTTATTGTGTTGGGAGAACAAATAATAGCACAGGTCTGTGTTGAACGTTTAGTTGGTCATAAAGGTTGGACTTAGGCCTGTCACGATAACAACTTTTTGTTGTGCGATATATTGCCCCAGAAATAATTGCGATAAGCGATATTATTGTCATTTTAAAGACCATTTTGAATATATAATCATAATGTAACGGCATAATAATGCAAGAAGGCCTACACACTTCCAAATGTCAACAAACTCTGAAAAACACAATCACTACAGCAGTCAGATGTGCGTATGCACAAAGGCACAGATCCCTAAACAAGATCATATCTGCAGATGAAACTTTGTTTGTAGAATTATTTTTTAAATGTGAACACCCACCTCATGACTACACCACGTTATGTACCAGAAGCTGCAAAAGACACAAGTGCAAGTGGAATGTACAAAACATGGTGACATACATTTTTAAGTAAATATAATGTGCGATATATTGCGTCACCAAAAATTATTGCGTACATATATTGCGCGATAAGTCGATATATTGATTATTGCGACAGGCCTAGTTGGACTCAATTAAAATGAGTCATAAAACCTACAAAATGTAGGTTTGTGCATAATACCAGTACAGTAATCACACTGAAAGATCAAGTATTGTTATTTAGTTGTTTTCCAGAATGCTTTAGCATTTCAAGGTTATGGTTAGTCTGTCTGCTTTCACGTATAGTCATGGCATTTTAAAAGAGTGGTTTACCCTAAAAATAAAAATTACTTGCATGATATCTTATGAGTATTGATGACAAAGATATATTTTTTCTTCTTATGTCTTTTTTAGATTAGACCGTAATGGTAGACTCTTCCTGGAGGAGTTAGTTACTGCATTGAATTGCTATTTTGAATTGCACCTTCACCCCTTTATTCATTAATTAATGAGGACATCTGTCAGCTGTCACCTAACAGCTGTTACTTTAACATCCTTCTCCTTTATTTTCAGCCGTCTCCTCTTGCAGTGTCACCTCTTTGTTGTGATCGTGTATTTTCTAATACACAATGTAGATTGGTTAAATTCCTAGTTTTACTAGGGGTGCTCCGATTGATCGGCTACCGATCACTATCGGCCGATAATCACGTTGGGATGATTGATCGGCGGGCTCTAAAAAGGCAGATCTCAAAAAACCAATCTCAAGCTGATGACGCTGCTGTGAGAGGTTTGGCACGACATGCAGCGTCACCGTCTCAGTCTCTGTCCGGCGCGAGTGAAATAATTATAATGCTGAAGGTGAGGTACACGCCTTCATATTATTTCATTAAATAACTTATAAAGTCATTTGAAAACTTTGTGTGAGACGTAATTTCACAAACGGGGTGAGTGAATCACCGCGTGCGCTCTCACTCTTTCTCTCTCAAAATACGCAAATTGCTTCAAATCACCACATCGCGTCTGTCTATAAGCGAGCTGCACGCTGCACAGTTGACACAGGAATTGTCACTTGCGAGGCAGTGTCGCACTCACAGCGCACACATAATGCCAGGTTCACATTACTCCGTTTGCAGTGCATATGTGGTGCGTATTTTTTCCGCACTCATGTTAACGGATTAATGCGTTCACTGCACGCGGTTGCGGTCTGGCAGTGCGTTCAGGAGCGGTGCGTCTGCAGCAGTGTAGAGATCGTTTCCGCACCGAGTCTATTTTTGCTGCGCTGCAAGCACTGAATTAAAGTAACAGCGCATTGTTTGCAGTAAATATGAACATGGATTGACACAAAAATGTAGTAATTACACCATAAATGCATATTATTAAAGTCTGCTGTGTTTCACAGTCAACACATGACTTTTTGGCTAGGTTTAAAGGGAAAGAGCACTTTTAGATAAAAAAGGCAATAATAGATGGCACTTGTGGAGGAGGGAACACAAAGTTCTTTATGAACCGCAGGATTGCTTGTAATAAAGATTTAAATCAAAAAGGAAAGACAGTAGAGCTGACTATTTCTGTTAGTGGTTAAACGGATCGTAGTTGATCCGTGATCCGTACGGACCAAGCCCCACGGTTCGGCACGCATGTGATCCGCGGATTAATTGCAAAATTTAACCATAATAGAGTACAAGTTTATCATTTGTTCGTATTTACACAAGCAAGCAAATTTTAAACAATTCCAGAGAGAAAAGGCAAAAGGTAACTCGATTAGTTACTCGCGCGCTGTTCTCTTCGCGCACAGCCGCACACACATGAAGCGTGCACACCCGTTTCAGATGGCGCGCAAACACAGAGCTGAATCCTCTTCTGAATCCTCTGAACAGACACATATGCATAAAATTATGTCAAAATACCCATCTCGACAATCATTCAGGTAAACGCAGTCAGTTATGTCTCAAGTGAATGAAAAGGCTTCTTGTCACAGAATGAGGCAGAAAATATGTTCTATATGCTACTTTAAAAAGAATACATCGATTAGCAATAAATTAAGGTGACCATACGTCCTTTTTTCCCCGGACATGTCCTCTTTTTGGACCTACAAAAATGCGTCCGGCCGGGATTTCTTAATTGCCCAAAATGTCCGGGATTCGGCTGTTTTCTTAATCCCACTCCCGCTGAATCTCTGACCATTGCCACCTGCTTCCGCAACATATCTTTCGCTCCCGCGATTTTGGTGTCCACTCCTTTAAACATTGTAATATTGTATATAATTTTGGCGCATCAGGGAGCCGCTCTCAGGATGCGGTGTATTTAAATATATTTGAATGAGCGTTTGCGCTGTTTACTTTCACTTTCGTAATTCGCAATCACATGCACTCTGTGTAAAGGGAGCACATCTTACATCAGATCAGATATTTGTCAATTAGCTCAGAATCTGTTGAGCAGCAAATACTCCAGCCATGGTCTTGTCAGTCAATTCCTTATTCTCGACCTGTGATCAGTCAAAGCTGACTCCGGTAGCTCTTGTTTGATGCAGGGTTGCCAAGTACGCGTTTTTTCCACAGAATTGGGCTACTTTTAAACTGTTGCCATGGGTTGATTTTCCCAAGTGGGTTAAAGGTTTGAAATATTGCATAAATTACATTTGACTGAAATGCTTGTATTGAAACATTTTGCATTCTACCTATGATAAAACTTTCATGGTCTTCTACATTAACTGTTCCCTCCTGGTGGAATGACCTGTCCTTAATATTTTCAAGAAACGGCTGAAAACACATCTCTTTCATCTTCATTTGACCCTCTAACTCTAGCACTCTCTATTCTAATGCTACTTCTGATTTTATCTGCTTGTTTTTTTTAATTAAAAAACTTGACCCTCTAACATTTGCACTCTCTGTTCTATTTCTATTCTAATGGCCAATCCATTTTTTGGGGGAATTTTTATTTATTTATTTTTTTAATAAGTATTGGTTCAGGCACCGTCTAGGCACCGGAACCGTTTTAAAAGTATCAATTTGGCACCGGTATCGAAAAAACCCCAAACGATACCCAATCCTACTGAAAAAGCATTTTCAGTGACAATGTTTTGGATTATAAATCAAAATAATGGATAAATGTTGTGTTTGTGGTAAACAGCCACGGATCAGTAGTGGACTCCTGTGTAAAAGCTGCTTCCCCTCTCACAAGAGTCACCTAAGAGGAGAATTCCCCCCATTTTCAAAAATGAAATTCAGGCCCTGAATGTCTAAAAATTCTGATTGGAGTATCACTATAAATAGTTATAAATGATTTTTTAAAAAAAGCTTTAAAAAGATCGGTATCGGCAGGTATAATATTGATAATCGTGATAACGTTGGTCACTATAATCGTGATATGAAATTTTCATACCGTTACATCCCTAGCAGATACTGCTTTCTGCGATCGGTGATCGGCCTCAAAAATCCTGATCGGAGCACCCCTAAGTTTTACAGATAATAAAGACCCCTTGGTTTAAAAAGTCTTTTGTGTTCGTGGGGCATCTATATGTTGAAAGTTGGCAGAATTTACTTTTATCAGATTAAAATGTGTGCAGGTTCACAATTCAGCCGTGATAGTATCACTGTGTACGTGCTTGTTTCGTGATATGTGTGTGTGGTTTCATGATGTAGTTGGCAATACCCAGCCCTAATGTGTGCACGCGCAATGTCAGAAAGCCTTGAGGCTTTGCAAACATTCAGACATCACCTTTGTTTGCATAACATTTGATAGTGAAAGCTTATGTGATGTCATTTCAATTTGTGTTTTGTGAAGAGAAGAAACTAAGAGAAACTGGTTAGGGATTGCCCTAGATGTCTCTGTAATTAAGGTCAGGGGTTTTCTCCCCTTTGGTTTAGTGTCAGTGAAAGAGTTATTCCCCAGGCTGGCCTGTGATGTCTCTTGATGTGTATATACTTGCAACAACTAATTAATAAAAGTATGAAAAATGAATAATGCATCAGATCAGAGAGAGAAAGGACAATCATTTTGATCAAAACAACATTTTTCAAATGTAGGTTTTTAATAATTTAAATATTAATTTAATTCAATTCCAATAAAAGATGCAAATGCTTCTTTAGCTACACTGTTAACTGTATATATAACTTTTTGCTCAAAGTGAGTCATTTGTTAATTCAGACTAGTAACAACTGAATTCATAAATCTTTTTTGAATGATTCATTAAAAGAACCAGTTCATAAATGTCAGTTTCTCGTGAATCGATCGCGCTATTTGTTTATGTTTGTGTGCAGCCCTTGAGGACAATGCAAATATTATTTATAAATATAATTATGATTACTAATTAGTTATTTAAACTTTTTTGCTTGATGATGAATTGTCAGCGACCATTACTTCAGTCTTCAGTGTCATGTCACATGATCCTTTATAAATCATTCTAGGGCTGCACGATAAATCGCATGTGATTGTGATGTGCATCTCGTCAGTAAAGCCGGTTCTGTGATTAGTAGTAAATAGTAGGGATGCACCGATACTGAGCTCCTGTACTCGTACTCGTTAAAATGCCCCGATACCAAACGCCGATACCACACAGCATGCGATAAGCGCCATATTCAGACAAAGAAACACCGACAACAGAACAACAGACAGCAGAATGGAGTTAAGGATGTCTACTACGAAGTATATGTATGCAATGAATATAATGTTAAACATTCAGTATTAACACCTGTATAGCTGATGTGCGCGAGCTGATGAGCAAATCACGCTGAGTGGATTGAGCGCGCGGTGGCGCAGATGCGCGAGCTTGTCGAGTGAATATACCTTTCTCACAGACATCACTGGAAAGTTTGTAGTTCGGTCAGATATGTCAAAAACAAGTAAGTAAAACAATGCACAAGTTACTTAACGGTAGGGAGAGAG